ATGTACATGTAGAAATTTTTTACCCAACATTGAAGTGATCATTCATTCAGATTTTATCTCGGAACTATGGAGTTTGTTGCTTCCCTTGGTAATTTTGCTTGACTTTCCAGTGACTAGGTCTCTTTTATCCCTTTGCTCTTGAATTTAATTACTAGTACATTCCACAATCAATCTAAAAACAGAGGACAAAATAGCTCCTATTTAAAGTACAACACAAGCTGATAATATTATTTTTCCATTCTAGCTGTTGTTCTACAATTGTTTTCTCATCAGTGACTATGAAATAAATTATACAAAGGTATTGTATTCCAATTTCTGGACTGTTTCCGCTTGTTTTCTTTGAGAAAGACTCTCCTTTGCATCCCAGACTCAACAAATTTCCTGGTTGAATTGACTGCAAAGCAACTTACAAAGCAAAGGGGGCTGCAAGCACACTTAAAAGGCTGGAAACTTGGCGTGAAACTAATGCACCACTGTGGCTTTTGATTGGATGTATAATCTTTCCTACATATGAAAATACAATCATTCACAATTATTCTGATTGGACATATCATTTTTTTCATGTGTGTAAAACTTTGTTAGCTCCTCAAATTGGATCGAACTCATATCAGTATGCAAGTATATGATGAGAGATATACACTGTATATACTCACTATGAAATAATAATAAAGTAAGTTGTAAAATTCTGTGTGGCTGTTTTGAGTTCATTAATTGAATGAACTCCAAAAAATGAACTCATTTTTGTAATGACAAATCAGGTTCATCGCCATATTACCGGAAATTCAAATACTTTCTACTTATTTCTTTTTCCTTCACGAACAAATATAAGACTTTTTGGTTCATATTTCAGCGTCCATGAGCTATCTCACTTAAAATCACTGTAATTTGTGTTACTTGTGATGTTTCCAATTTATTTTTTTAGTCGACTTTTTCTTTTTTCCCTTTGGTGTTTTTTAATACTGAACAGCTGACTGGTGGGTAGTCTGAAATGTCATATGTCTCCACCCAGAAACCCATGGGGGACTAGGGGGGGGGGGAGACTCTATTCTCAGGAGACCAGTATGAAGATTGTAAAGGCGTTATTCTACGTCCATTACTGATAGTGTTGATTACAAAGGAGAGACTAAGTCAGCTGACACAGAGCTATTGTTCATTGTTCACGCTCAACAAACGTAACATGACATAACATTGCAAAACGTGACTTTTTTTTTAATAAGTAAAAATACCTATTATTATTAAATTTTTTAAATAAGGTGTATTAATTCCTTTTTCAGTGTTAAGATCCGTTGTCCCTTTATCATTAACGCCTGAGCCACACATGGAGGTTGGGTGCCTAAGAACCTAGGGGCTGAATCCGTCGACCTCTAACCCAAATAGCAAGAACACCCCAAAAGCCTGCCCTACCCACAACCCAGCCACTAGCCCCACCCGCCACACCCAGCTCCAGACCAAGCACTCGTCACACTGAACAGAGGGTTCAGTGGAGATATAAGGACAATAATAATAGTAATAATAATAGTAAGGGGTGAGGAGGGAGGGGAAAAAACACTAAAACTGAGCAACACTCAGCAAGACACCCTGAACACTATGCACTGTAAAACTACAAGCACATATAAACGTGCACACTTAACTGCAACAGTAAACCACTGACCCATAGGGCACCGGGAATTGCCCCACAACAGGCCTAGTACAGTAACCCAAACCCTGGCAAAAATGCAAGAACATAGGATATAACTGCCGGCTCACCAAAGCATGCCAATAAAATGCTAACAAACACAAATGCCAAGCCAACACCACGCTAACTCCAAGCCAACTTCTGAGCAGCTAGCTCCTGGGCGTTTACGAACTTAATTAACAATTATTCCTCGAGCCTGAGTGGGCTCTGAGTCAATAGCCGACTCAGAGGCCATGAGGGCGAGAGGAGTAATTGTTTTAGTAAAATCCAACTAGTTAGCTAGCAAAATGCGATTCAGCCCCCACCGTTTTGGTTTTCAAAGCCGGTGCTTTTTGCTACCAGTGGGTATAACATATAACCTAGTAGTAGCTCAACCAATCAGAATGCAGCATTGATAATAGACCACTAGTTGGATTTTACTAAATAAGTATATTAACATTATTATAGCTCTCAAACTTGACCTGTTGGCATGTACTAGTATTTACTCCATGTGTTAAGTGTCTTAAACCAACTACTGCAGTTTTAGGTGCAAACAGTACCATCCCTCTCAACAGAGTAGCACCATAATCCTCTTCCCCCTTCCAGCCCCCAAAATGTTGGTACTTTTTTATGCATTTTCACACATATCTGCAAAAATCTTACATACAACTTCAACTATTGCCCCACTTAATTAAGGACACCTATGTCACTAATATAAGCAGTTGGCTTCCCTGTGAGGTCTCTTTAGTCCCAATGTCACCAGTGGAATATTTTTACTCATATCAGATGGTGAGTGTTGTCTTTGAACAGTTTAGAAATCACAGTGCAAATCTCCTTTTAAGCTGGGCTTAATTGTATCGCTTAACTTAATGTTTCTGTCTATCTTCATTGTCTTTTTTAATAGTCTTATATAGCTTTACTGTTTTGTTTGTTATTTTGTTTGTTTTTTTACATATTTTTTAGACCCTGGGACCACTGTAACTGGCTTACTGCTGTTGTGGTATTCCTACCTAATTCTTCTTTGTTTTTTGTCACATTATGGGCAAAGCTAATAAAATAAACTATAATATAATAATGTCTTTGGTTAAATTTAGGGTTCCTGTCATGTCACTGACCTATCAAAATTCCTTCTCTACTGCCTTAAGTATTGGGAGTTACCTTTTTTGCTTAAAAATGTCTCAAAGTCATAATTTCACTTAACAGTGGTGACATACCTTATCACCAAAGTTGTCCAAATTGTTGGAAAAAAAGGGTTGACTTGGTAATGGCCTTAAGAACCATGTTAGGGGAATGGAGTGGCATTCAGACCCTTTGTTGACCTGGGGTTAATCCTGCATAATTTGCATTACTTGCAGCTGTAAGTAAATTGAGACTCTTGCAGGGTACAGCTTTTGTAATGTCATGTATGGGGTTAGTAATCTAACTTGTGGGAAACTGGGGAAATCCATCAGAGTTCAGACCAGAGAATGTTTTTGCTTATTAACTGAGTGTTCAAAACTGTGTTGGCACCAAATGACTGCCTGTAGAGCTACTACATGTACGCACTTAGTTCAGGTTTTCAAGAAAATAGTATTGAATAGTTAGAAAGTAGCCTGAGCAAATGGGTGACATTTCGTGACGCCATCACTGGTTTCATCGCGAAATGATGTCTGTTAAATGAGTGCAGAAATTCCATACTGATGACATGTCAATACCCAGATCTGGTAATGTTTTTTTTATTGGTTGAAGCAAACTTTCAGCCAATCAGACCTAAGCTACCCAGATCTGGGTAGTGAAAGGTCACCAGTATGGAATTTCTGTCCTCATTTCCCAGACATCATTTTTCAGGGAAACCAGTTGTGGCCTGGTGAAATGTTGGCTGTTTTCTCAGGCTGTTATAAGAAAAGGTGGAAATTATTACATGAATGTATTTTTAACAGTTTGTATAACATCCATCCTTCCTTAGTACAGTGGAGCGCTGCCTTATGGCCACCTCAATAACATGGTCACCTCGTTATTATGGCCACTTTTTTTTTGCAGGCTATACATTTCCTTATAAAAAAAAAAACGTTACTGTGGTCACCTGTTAGTATGGCCAATGGCCACATTTTGAAATCCCAAACAGTGGAATCTCTTATAATTTCATCTCAGTGCAAGTGATGCATTCTGGGCTTAATGTTGAATGTAAAAATAATCTGGAGAATCTGGATTGGAATGTACTCGGTTCTTTGTCATTAAGTGAAAGTTTCTTTCCTTTCTTTTTTTAAGTACTCTTTGGTTATGAAAGACCATGCACATAAAGGTGACAAACATTAACATTACCTTCACAACTGCGACATCTATTTAATTGTACATTTGTTATGGTTCCTTATCCTACTATCCTACGCACTATTGGTTTGATTCCTTTCAGAATCTCTCTTTTTATTAATTCCATGCTTTGCTGACGTAACTTCCTTTGTGTAGTTTGTGATGCCTTTGTATGAGCAAGCCAACTTAAAGGTCATTACTTGTGTCCAGAAATTGGAAATAATTCGGATTTTTTTCATGGTGATGATGATGAGGATGATGATGATGATGATGATTTAATTTTTCTCATTATTTTTCATATTCTCTGTCTATTTTGGCCTGTAGTACAAACCAGGCACAACTTTAACTCTTCTCAGTGTACGTGTGAGGCTAAATATTCTTTCCTGAATCTTTTTTTGGTTGTTGGTTTGTGGTTTTTTAGTAATGTAGCTTGAGGTGTATTGTAAAATTTGAAAGTATTGTTAATAAATGAGAGAAAAAACCTGGATTTAAAGTACTTTATATTGGGCACAGTTATTATTTTTCCATCTGACGTATTCCATATGACGTCATATAGACGCTTGCGTTTAGGCGAGGATTAAGGCTAGTGGACTTTTTGTGATGTCTGTCATAAGGGGCATGAATCTCATTAACTTGCAATCCTGGACATAGAAAGTCAACGCACAAAGGGAAGTCACCATTTGAACACTTACTAGTGATAATTTTTTTTAATCGTTTTCTATGTTTTGTTTTCTTTCAGTTGTTTAGCCATTCTGATCATGCTTGGAAATGGCATCTTTTCCGGAAAGATCCCGCAAAGTGCAAGTCACCATTTTGGCCTCTGAATGGGGATCGAGCAAAGGCGGGCTGTCCACCATAAACAGAGAATTAGCCATTCAATTCGCCAAATGCCCCGAAGCGGAAATCACTTTCTTTCTTCCAAAATGCAGTCAAGAGGATAAAGATTTAGCCCTCCAACACAACGTAAAGATCGTTGAGTCATCACGCCGGCCTGGCTTTGAAGAACTGGAGTGGCTTAGCTTTCCACCAGAACATTTACAAATAGATGTAATCGTTGGTAATGGAGTTAAACTCGGCAAACAAGCACAAATCATTAAAGAACGTAAGAACTGCAAATGGATCCAAGTCGTGCACACAGACCCAGAAGAACTGGGAATGTTTAAGAACTATTCCAACCCCATTTCCAAGGGTTCCATTTCCAAGGGTGAAGAGAAACATAAAACAGAGGTAGAGTTGTGTGAAATGGCAGATCTCGTTGTAGGAATTGGACCCAAGTTGAGTGAGGCCTTCCGCTCGTATCTTCGAGGATGCAAGAAAGATAAAGTTGTAGTGGACTTGACACCTGGAGTATTTGAAGAATTTGTCAGTGTGATTCAGGACATTGAAGAAAGAAAACAACGTAGTGTCTTGGTGTTTGGTCTTGGGGACGCAGAGGATTTCGAACTAAAGGGATTTGACATCGCTGGAAAAGCGGTTGCTGCATTACAAGATACTCGTCTTGTGTTTGTTGGCGCCCCGAATGGAAAACACGAAGAAATAGCCAAGCGGTTAACCGGATGTGGTGTTCCTGCAAGTCGCTTGAGAGTAAGAGGGTTTATTGAGGACCGAGAGAGTCTAAGGCGCTTGTTTCAAGAAGTGGATCTTGTAGTCATGCCTTCACGAACAGAGGGCTTTGGGTTGGCAGGACTTGAGGCCCTGTCAGCTGGTGTCCCTGTGCTTGTCAGTCACAACTCGGGGTTTGGAGAAGCACTGTGCAGTGTACCATTTGGTTCGTCCTTTGTAGTTTACTCAGAGGACCCCACCGATTGGACCGCAGCCATCAGTAAAGTCTGGGCCAAGGACAGAAAAAGTCGACTTGAGGAAGTGAAAACTTTGCGCGATTCGTACGGCAAGAAATTTAACTGGGCCAAACAGATAAGAGATGTTCTTCACAAGATGATCAGCTGGACTCACGGTATGAATGTCAAATTAAGTCTATTTTCATCGTGTTTTAATTTAAGCACTATGACCATGCCTACTGATAATGGCAGCAAATTTTAGTTTTCTTAATTTAACCCCTCCTGTAAATCAACAATTTATTTTGATTACTTAAGACGCTGT